TTTAATAGTATTGGTAATATTGTTGGTGAAAGCGATGTTATTAGTTGGGGTCGCTTTATGTTTCAAAATAGTAGCGAATTAAAAGAAGTTTTAGACACTCAGTATAAGTTATATATCAGAAACGGAGACACGGCGGGAGAAATGAATTTAACAATAGGCTTGGAAAGTAGCACACCAGAAATTCAATTAACCGATGGAAAAGTAAATATATTAGGTAATTTAGAAATAACACATGTTGATGTGTCAGGTCAACAAAGAGTATTAATAAATAACCCAGACACTGATGGATTTATTACATTAAGCAATAATAATTTATCAAGATTAGATGCTACAAATACAGGCGTTGATGTTTACGGTTTCTTTACTACAACAAATAACGCAGATATTGGAGGAACTCTAACCTGCACCGCCTTGATTGAAACATCGGATTTTAAATTAAAAGAGAATATTAAAGAAGTGAATACCAAAGACTGTTATAGTGTAGTTAAATACGTTAAACCGAAAACATTTACTTTTGTTAAGGACGAAGACAAAAAGAGCAATCTAGGATTTATAGCCGACGATGTGAAAAATGCTAAACTGCCCCCTGAATGGGATAACGTAATCTTTTATAATGATGATGGTATGAAACTCTTAGCATACAATAAAATGACAGTTATCTTGTGGGGCGCTTTGCAAGAAATGCAAAAAGAAATAACGTCTTTGAAAGGGGAATTAACAAAGTTGAAAAAGAAGATGAAAAATGATAGTGATTAATTTAATATAAACTAATGTATATGAGCGATTTTCACTCTGAGTATGCCACCTGTATGGAACTACTTAAACAAAAAAGCAAAGACATTTCGGAAACCGATATACTCTTAAAAGCGATGAAAGATCTGTTAGGTAAATTAGAGGAGGAAGAACAGAAAGTTGAAGCATTGAAAAAGAGGAAGAAATGCCCCTGCTTCGGTTTTACTCATTTACATTGTTGTAATCCTAGTTTATTTTAATGATAAATAATAATATTTTTAGTAATATTATTAATTATCTTGGGTTGTTTGTAGGAACTCTTCTGTATGTTCTTCAGAAGCTTGGTTGTTTAGGTAGTCTTGGTGTTTTTTGGTTCGTTCGTGTCTTGATTTGCCTTGTCTCATAAAGACCCCTCCACATTCACAGGTCAATCTCTGGTATGCCCTTTGTATGATTTTTTCGCGGTTGTTTATACGATACTTGCGCTCCCTTTCTTGTATCCTGTCTTTGTTTGTTTCAGCGTATCTATGTTGGTATTCAAGCTTTGTCTCTCGGTTTTCTTCGTAATGTTTCTTTGATCTTGCTTTTACTAGTTCCTTCTTTTCTTCATAGTATCTTTCGTGACTTGCCTTCACTTTTTCAATATTGTTTAGTGACCACTGTCTTTTGGTTTCTTTTCTTTCGGTTTCCGAAATATAAGGTCTATCTTGGTTTAACATTGAGTATTCCCGCTCAATGAATTCACGCTCTTGTTGTCTCGCGTGTAAGCCATCTTTACAACTCAGTGTCTGTAACAGTATCATATCCCAGTTCTTCCATCCACCATTGGCACGAATAAAGCAATATACATAAAGGTTATGCCCTCTTGCATTTGCTGTTTCACAACTTCTTTTGTGTTCTGACTTTCTGTTTTTGAAGTTGGTAGTATGCCCAACATAACACTCCTTGACATTCAGATCTTTACAGACTATTTTATAAAAATGAGTTTGATTGTAGTTCGTGTCCTTTTTTGGCATTATAAAGTCCTATAAAGTATTATAGCCAAGTCTTTAAATGATTATTCGTCCACATCAATCATTATATACTTCTCAAATCTCACCATAAACATTTTATTTATGTCTGGTTGCATTAGATTAACGAATAAAAAACTAAAAGGGTCTTCTGTTGCTACATTGTATATTTCCAATAATAGTTGCTTTGCTTGATGTAGGCTCTTCATATCTGACATTGCTTTTTTACTAATTAACACCCCTGCTAGTTCATCTAAAACACTTTCAACTTCTTTATAATTTCGTAGCTTGAAGAATATTAACTGTCTGGAATTGGTTCTAATTGTCGTGCTTAGCCCGTTGTATTTCTGACTGCTAGATATTATTGACACACTGAAATGACGAGCTTTAATATACAATGCGTTAAGCAAGTTGTTATGTTTTGCGAATGACGCTTGGTCAATGAAGTCGTCTATCAGAAAAAGCACCGAATACAATTTGTTATGTGAGTTTTTCTTTTGGAACTGATTAACTTTGTGTTGTAAATCTAAAACTTTTTGCATTTCATCAATATTGAATGTGTCAAAATATACCTTTTCTTTCTCTGGATTAACGCCAAGATCATTTTCAATATATTTCTTGACTGGTTCCCAAACTGGATCCAAACCCACTGAACTGGACCAAATATATATACGACTGAAACAATTTCTGTAAATATCAAGAATTAGATTTGACAGAAGCACTGTTTTACCAGAACCTGATTGACCAGTTATAACCATTGAAAACGGTATGCGAGGTGCCACATCGTATTTACTTTGAGCACAAGTGTATTCTTTTGTTTTGTATGGTTTGACAATAGGTATATCACTCATTATTTAAGCAGAGAAATTATATATCATTTAATATAATGGATAGGTATTTAGAAACTATAGAGGAAATTGAAGAAATTGAAAAAGTTGTAATACAAGACACCAAGCTTAAAAGGTGTTGCACCGCTTCTTTAGAATTGCTTAAAGCAGTTCTTGAGTATTCAAAAAAATCTAAGCAAGGTTAATGAGCGATAATAAATCAAACGAAGGTGGCTTCCACTTAAACACGGATGGGTTAAACTGCTTACCTTGTAAGTGTAGAAGAAAGACTTTTCACAAAGAAACTAAAATAAACAACGAAGGTAAAACAATAATTGAAGACAGGAGCAGTTGGAAGATGGGGAGAGGAATAACCCCCGATGAAAACGACATCTTTAAAACAAACTCACAAGATAATGAAGGTGTTGATACGGTTACCACCGGATGGGGATCAAGAAAACCCACTCCAGAAGAGAGACTAGAAAAAGTGGAGGAGGATGTTGAAAGGATAGACAAAGATGTAACTATTTTGAAGAATAATTTAAATATGATGGATTAGTATATAAATAAATAATTTCTATGGTAATTTGACAGTGTATAGTTCCCCCTGCCAGACATCTAGAAGAAAATCAGGTCCCATTGCTCCCGTGTGATGAACAGCTTCATAAGCACACCATAAGAGTGTGGAAATGATAAGAATTCGCAATTAGTTTCATTAAATCTTAGGGAATGCAAACTCCAGCATTTTTTCATAATCTCGCATTATGAAAATGTGTATATTATTAATATAATGACAATAACAGTAAATAAGATATTAGTTGATTTTGAACCATATACTGAAACAAATAATGTTGTTACTAGGAAGTGTTATCGTTGTAAGCAAGACAAAAATATTGATTGTTTTAAGCGTTGCTATTACGCTGGTAAGCATTCTCATTATTATGTTAAATATATTGCGACTTGTTCTGAATGCTTGGATAAATCTGTCAAATAAACCGCGATGCAGTAAATCTTAAGAAAATAATATTTCTGAGGAAAATGACTTAAAGAAACAACAACTTGTATATTATCAGGGAAATGTTCAATCAAAACGAACAGGATGAAATAACAAATAACTTCTTGGATGTTGTCAAGGTTCACGATTACTTCAGGGAACTCGAGGAAGAGCGACGGAATTGTAAATGTAAAGATTGTAAGAAACACGAACGTTATTCCGCTCTGTATGAATTGTCACTACCAGAAAATATTATTAATAATATTTACGGCTTTGCTTATTGTTGCCGTAGTTGTCAAAAACGCCAGTTCAAGAAGGAGAGGCTAGAGGGAATTATCAGACGTAATATACTACACATATATGATGTAGATAGACTTATTTTCTCAATTAAACATGACTTTCCCAGTTATGACAGGGTTAAAAATAATCTGTTCAAGAAATTGTCAACAAAAAGATATACAGTGTTCAAATGGATATATGAGGACTGGATGGATATTAAAAATATTGATATTCGTAGTAAGATAAACGATTTTGGTTTTAATCCAGACGTTTTTATTAGGGACTTTAATAAAATTGTTGGAACTCTTATGAATAAACCTGAGTTTGTCTTAATGGATTAAACAGCCTAACCAGCATAGTTATAGTGTAATTATAATACATAAGCAGTTATATATTATAATTACAGTGTTGTTACAACCCTTAACCCCAAACCCTGAACCAAATCCTACGAGAACCCCCTTGCCCCTTTTGAGTAATAATGCCACCTTAGAGGTAATAGATGGGGTAATGGTTATTCCTAGAATTGTATTGATAATGGGGTAGTAGTAGTGATATATCGGTGAAATGTAGGGGGGAATGTAGGAATGATCATCTAATGGGGGAAGTAGTAGTGATTTATCGGTGAAATGTAGGGGGGAGTATAGGAATGATCATCTAATGGGTTGGCGGTGGCATTATTACCCAAACTGGGCAAGGTCTACTCTGACTCATTCGGTACCTATGCTCTCTTAGAAGAAGCGGAGCCTTTGAGTCCCGATCCCTGACTTCACACAACTTGGGAGCCACAGACGGAAAGAAAGCTGTGTCTAGGGCATGACGCCGCAGCCAGCGAGGGTCAGGAGCATAGAGCCGCACTCCCAACAGGCGAGCATCAGCAGCATCAGGCCGGCCCCGTTTCTCGTCGAAGAGCCGTAAAATAAGCAAAACCACACAGAGCCTCAAAAAGGGTCCTTGGAGGCCATGGCGGCAGTCGTCCCGCGGGGAGGGGGACGCCCAGCCGGAAAAATCAAAATCTGCCCACCCTGCCCTCCAGACCCCACCGGCTTTGCCCCTTGCCCCAGCCCTGGCAGTATTGAACGACACTCCCTCAGGGGCAGCTTTCATGATCAGACGATGTCATGCAAACACGCACAAAGCAAGGTCAGCTCAGGAAGAGTCCTGCCAGGCGGGTGCTTCTTTCGGTGTAGCAGGTGCGAGAAGGTCTCGAATCCGCTCGTTGTGAATCTGCACAGACTGCTGCAGTGAAGCTATCGGGTAGTGACGTAGTGGCTGTAGTCTTGTGGCTTGTGCAAGACTGACATCACTGCCGGGTGTTTCACTGCTCCGGCTATGGAAGCACGGTCCCACGAAAAGCCTCGTAGAAGGAGGCAACGCAGACAGTGTCGGGCTCCTGGTCAGATTGTTTGGTTGCCGAAGACGAACATGACCGGCCTTGCTGTGTGTCCCTTGCAGGGTGTCAAGAGCATCCTCGTGCTGTCCTCACTGAGAGCGCTGAAAATTGCTTCCAGTGTTCGCGGAACAAGGCCAGAGCCCAAA